TCGTGTGCCTCGAGCGGGTGGCGAGACGTTGGGCGAGTCAGACAAAGAAGAGTCAGACCGCTGGGATTTATGCCCACCCTCCAAAAGGCCGTGGGTGCGCTGTTGCGCGGGCTGCGCGGGGCGATGTGTAGCGAAGTGTGCAGGGTGTTACGGATCTGCAGGGTGTGCAGGTTGGAGGGGTAGAGGAGCAGCAGAGCCCCGGCCGTGCTGGGGTTTGGGGATGTTTACCAGCTGTGAGCATCAGAACATGCAGCTTGGGAGGGAAAGCGCCTGCTCCCTTTGGCGCAGAGAGGCAGTAACTAAGATGTCTCGTAGCTGAATACGTTTGGGTTTAGGCACGACGAATGCAGTGGCAGATGGGGTTTGAGTCTCCACAGCGACAGCAGTGCTTAGCTGGCTGTAGGACAGAATAAGGCCAGAACAAACCCTCGGTTGTGGCTGTGCAGCGATGATGGGTGCTTTCTGGAGCATGCCACGCAGAGCGCTGTGTGGGCACAAACCATTTGAGAGGTTAAATGATAGTAATGAAGGCTCAATGAGGTCAAATATATGTTCCGTGTGGGTCAGAAGGCTTTCCCACAGAACTGTACAGTAAAAACAGCAGTCGTGGTTGGAGTGGGCCTGACCCTAGCTGAACAGGCGGCTGGTGTTGTCACAGGACACATGCGGCTCAGACAGTGTTCATCTGGACAGAGTATGAGTGTCCGCTCAGCTCCCTGCCTGCTGTTTGCTTCTGTTTTTCATGCATCTTTAAGCCTTGTCCACTCTTTCATCCAGCTCTTTCTGGGAGCACTTCTTCATGTCTCTGTGCACCTTTACACGGTTTCTACTTTTGTGCTGTATTTACTTGCCTGAGAAATGTTTTGGGTTTGTTTAGTAGATTAAACCTCCCCTACTCCCTCTCACGACCTTCCTTCGCATCTGTGGTGCTGGCCTCTGGCCCAGAGTGTGCTGTAGTCAGTCCTTTTCCGCGATCGGTTTTCCTTCTGCTACCTTGCAGTCAAACCTTTTGCTGCCTTGCAGTCTTTTGGAATGAGGAGCTTGTGGTTTATTCTGTGGGGAGGGGGGGCGAGGGGAGAGAAGGGGAGAGAGAGGAGGTGCTTTAGCTTGCAGTTGCATCAGCTTCCAGCTTTGGATCTCGGACTGAGGTCTGTAAAAATACGCCTGGGTGCCATCCCTTGCTTCTGCCTTTGCTATGAAGAGCAAAAGCTGTTGGATTGCTTCAATTTCCTTTCTTTTACACAGTAGGAAGTTTGGGGCCCTGGAGGTTGCTTACACTTGAGTGCTGGTCCTTGAACCAGCCCGGAAATTTGAAAGCGTGATGAGCAGTTGACCTTCAGCACAAGAGCAGGCTGCACTACTGTGATGGGCAGCAACATTCAAAAGCAAGAAGAGTGTAAGGGGCAGGAACAGCGGGTGACAGAAAAAAACCCAAACCCAAAAGCATTGCACAACTTTGAAATGCCCTTCTCAAAGTGCAGACTTAAATTCCAAATGTGAAAAGCTCGAGGGAAGTGAGCAAACCCAGATGCACTCTGAGGTATGAAAAAAATCAAGCAAAAAGCCTGTTTTGTGTTTATACCTTTCAAATCACCGTTAGCTCTGTGACAAATTACGCCCCCGAAAGACAGCAGGTCTTGGGCTCCTACTGAAAGCTATTTTTCTTGGCAAAAGGCAAGATGTAGCCTATTGCTGTAATAAGCTGAAGCTGAAGCCTCTCAGACTTGGGGGCATAGGCAAAGCAGGGGCATGGTGCCGATGCTCTCAGTACCCTTAAACTTTTTTTTATCATAAGACAGAGAATTTCTTAAGAAGGAAATTCCTAAGAGTGAGCACTGCTTTTTCACAGAGTTCTCTGATTTGAGCATTTCCAGTCTGCATTGCATAGTTTGACAGCTGCCACAGGAGGAAGAAACCACTGTAGTTACTTTCAAGACACCTTTTGAAGACACATTGTTTGGTCTGCACCTGTGCTACACTTCTGCTCTTCCTGACCCGCATTGTGAGCTCTTTCACACTCCATAAGTTAGAAACAATTTCCATGCAGTGGAGGCTTAAATTACAGTTAAGCATATGCCATTCTATTTTGCCAGATCAAGCCCCCGAACATGCTGCCTGCGCAGTGTTTAGGCTGTTCTGGAGCTGTAGAAGAGTGGGATCCAATTCTTCCTGGATCCAGCATGTTTTGCGCATCTCTGGTTGCTCTGATACTGTGATTTCCTTCTCTGAAACATGATGGTGTGTAATGCTAACAAAAGCAAAAGCATGTGCAGCCCTCACTCCCTATGTACCACCACCTCCAGAAGAGCTATTTCGTTTGAGCCAGCAGCTCTCCCTCAGCTGGGAGGGAAGGACTTGAACAAAATGGCACGTTCTCCAGGTACAGAGCAGGGGAAGGTTGCCACATGGAGACTTTATGTTAAAACTTGGCCTAAATAGGTGCAAATCTCTGTACTGCTCTGCATGAGCATGTATGAGCACAGCAGGAGGAGGGAAGGTAGGAGTCTTGGATGGGAATTGAGGAGTTACATGCAGTGTGAAGGTAATATAGTTTGCTTCCTGCAGATTGGTAAAGAAAACAGTCTGTGGAAAAGGCTTGAGGAAAAGGCAATGAGACCTTCACCTAGTTTTACCTCCAAGCAATGTTCAGCTTGTATCCTGTCATGTCTTTCAGAAGTACCTGAGGCATTCTTGATGTTGGCAGGAGGAGTCAGAGCTGATGGCAAGGAACACAAGGGAGAAGCAGAAATGCCTGTGACAGCATGGGGGTGAATTCAAAGCGACAAAATCTCTTTGTAGCTGGCTAGATAGCAAAAGGCAGATCTAATTCCCTCAGTGCCAAATGTGCAGGGCTGCTGTTGTCCCTCAGCCAGATAATTGGAAGAGGAGAAATTATCCAAACACAGCCAACTATTCCTCACCCCCTCTTCCTTCTGGCGTTCTTCAGTCTTGCTTGTGTATTTTCACCCATCGCTGCCTGTCTACTGATAAAGAAATCTGAAAACTTGAGTTCATCCTTTCCTGGGGAAATTTCACTAGATACACTCAAATGACCCCTAAGAAGTCTTCCATGTCCGAAAAAGGACTTGTCCCAAGGTAAAAATGCAGCGGTGCTTACATTTTCCTGACAAGGAAAGCTCAGGCCAGAGTACGAATTCCTCCGGGGAGCGAAATTGATCATTGCTTCTGGATTTAAAATGAATCCATGACTTTACAGAAATACTACAGTTTTACAGCTTCTTGGTTTTTCCACGTGTAGTAATCATTGAACTGTAGCTCTGCTTAGCCTTACAGGCCCAGCTTCACTCCATCGCCCTGTGTTAGCTGATTTCATGGGCTTCTTCTGGCTGCATTGAAGTCTGCCCTTGCTTGGAAGAGTTGTGGAAGATATGCTCCATTTCTCAGTGCATGTTTTTGAGGTCTTTTTGATACCTGTTTAATGTTGTCAGTATGTGGTAGGAAAAAGACCAAGAGTAATGCAGGTTCCTTTAAGAAGCTGTTGTGTCAGTTTGCTGTTCCTTGGGAGGTCAGACTGGTTGCTCTAGCGGGAGCACATTATTTTTGACCAGTGGCATAGTGGGAGGAAGCAGAGGGGTTGGTGGATGTCTGCCTTCTGAATCTGTAGCCTTCTTTTAGTTATCTGTCAAAGATTGGGTGTTTGGTTTCAAAGGAATCCTTTAATTCGTTACCATACTTCAAACCAATGGGTTGGACAGGGTATTTGGAAGTGGATAGGATGCTTTAAACTAACAGTAAAGAGCATACAGAAATCCATGGTAGAAAATAGAAACCAAAAATAGTGGGGATTTTGAACAGAGCTGCAATAAATCAGTGGGGCAGCTACCCATGGATGAAGTCTTTAAGCCAAGATCAGTTGTCTTTTTGAATTATAAGCTCTACAGAGCACAAACTGAAAGTGGCAAGACATTGCCTGAATGGCATATTCTGCCCTGTAGACAGGGTAGTGGTAATGCTGCTCTCTTTAACAGAGGTGTTTTCTGAAGGGCTATATTTGGCTTAAGAAAAAAAATAATCGGAAGACACAAACAAGCAAGCAAACAAACCCCCAGGTGTAACTGGCTCTTCCCTTCTTCCCAAACAGCTATAACTTACACTTCCATTGTGGCTCATTTGTTTCCAGGTCCATCACCAGAGCCTACTACAGAAACTCGGTTGGCGGACTCCTCCTCTTTGACATTACAAACCGCAGGTCCTTCCAGAATGTCCATGAATGGCTAGAGGAGACCAAGGTGCACGTCCAGCCATACCAGATCGTCTTTGTTTTGGTAGGTCACAAGTGTGACCTTGACACACAGCGGCAAGTCACCAGACACGAGGCTGAGAAACTGGCTGCTGCATATGGTATGAAGTACATTGAGACCTCAGCTCGGGATGCCATTAACGTGGAGAAGGCCTTCACTGATCTGACTCGAGATATATACGAGCTTGTTAAAAGGGGGGAAATTTCAATCCAGGAGGGATGGGAAGGGGTAAAGAGTGGGTTTGTACCTAATGTAGTGCACTCTTCAGAAGAAGTGGTGAAATCAGATAGGCGATGTTTGTGCTGAGCTCTTATGGTGAGGCAAGTGGTGATGGAACTCTGCTAACCAAACGTACTTTACTAAGTGAACTCAGTGTGACAGAACGGAGAGCAACACTCCCGTTGCAAACAGCCTCCCACCTTGTTTTGGACACCAGAACAGACACTGGAAAGAAATGTTCTGTTCCAAATAACCTTTCAGAACTGGGGGGCTGCAAACCTAAAGGAAAGTGAGTGAGGGTGCATGTAGATGTTGTAAGGAGACAGGAAGCAGAAATGAGGGGCTGCATGAGGCAGGAGAACGTATACAGGGAGCTGAATGGGCTGGGACAAGCCAGGGTACTGTACATGTCCTCTTTTAAGTAAATCCATAGCACCATGCTGGGTAGTGAAGCCACAGTATGGATACTTTAGACAGATGGGCAGGCAGAGAGAAGGAAGGAGGACATCTTCATTTGCAGCAGCTGTATATTACCAGGAAAGTATAAAGGCAGCACAGATACCGTTTCCTCATAAGACCAACTCCACAGGAAAGGTTCACTGACATGGTATGCACACGTCTGAATTTTCTTTCTTATGTTCTTGAACTTAGTTCAATAGCAAAGAATATTCTGTGGGATTTAGAGCAAAACAGTAGTTATTTGCCTGGTAATTAAAATTTTAATTATTCCTCCCTTAGTAGTGCTGTTCTTGCCATGTTGAGCCGGGATTCTAAGTGACAACTCTTGTTCCAGTAGTAATTATTCAGTGCATTTTTATGCATTTACTGCCTAGGTGAGTACCTTGAAAGTACCCTGTGTTCAGGGCTTCTAACAGAATTAAGTGATCAAGAGCATAAAGAGAGAACCATGTCCTCATGTTATCTCTCAAGGCTGGGGTGTTGCAGCCAGGTGGGACACACCAACATTTCTCTCTTGGTAACAGCACTAACCTTGTGGGTGTCCCCAGCCAGGTCACAAGAAGGAATGGAAAGGAGGTGGGGAGGGAAAAAAAAGCCCAATAAAATAAAAATTAAAAAAAAACTTGAAAAGCTTAACTCAGGTGCATCTAACATCATAAAAGTTGAGGTTTGCTTTTAAAGTTAAATATCGTGGAAAGCAACACCTTCATCAGTACTTTCTGCTGTTAAAGTGTCACTTTCTTTCTTGAAAGATGAGAACTAGCAATGGGAGGAGGAGCACACAACAGAAGCGTCTAAACAGGTGGAAAGGAAAACCACAAGACAAGCTCAAGAGTAAAATTTGTTTTCCTCCATGTTTTAATTTTAAAGGTGATCCGTCTCAGGTTGGTCACGATGGAATGGTAGCCATGTTACAAAAGCTGTATGTAGGAGGATGTTTTCCGGGAATGCCATTGACCACTTAGAATCTTTGCTTCAGCTAAGTTTAAACTTAAGCTTTTGAAGTGCAGCAGGGTAACTGTGCTCCTGTAGCAAACTAGGGCAGTTCAGCCTATTAAAAGCAAACAAACAAAACTACATTGACTTCTTTTTATTCAAGTTTTCAAGCTTTGTACACTAAACTAATAATGGGCAGGAGGGAGGGATTAGGTAAAAACCACAGGAAGCCTCTAAGTAAAGAAGATGACAATGCAGCTTTTTCAGCTACCCCATCTGTAAAAGTGTAGGTCTTGACTGCTGTTGAATTCAGACTATTTCTTCCCTTGAACCTCTTGTGGCTTACAGCATAGGGGCAGGTCTGTATGAAGAAAAAAAACCTGTGGATTTTCCATATTAAAGCTGTAAGGAAAAAACCCAAACAACCCAAGAAACGCAACACAACAACTAAAACCCTGAAAATCAACAACATTTTTATTTTCAGTGTTCTAGGAACAATTTCAGTTTCTGGGCTCTGCTGGGGAACAGCAGTGTTGGACCTGCTGGGAGGGCACTGGTAGCAAATTGGAGGAAGGGAGGCATTGTAATGGTCTAGCACCTTTCAGTAAGCTTGTCACTGCTAACCCCCGATCGCTCTTGAATAGCTGTAAGAACCTTGTGCCAAAGCCCAGTGAATTCCAGGCAGGTTCAGTTGTGGTTGAGTTGAGTGCCCTCAAGATTAAAAAAACCAAACAAATGAAAAAAAAAAAATCCCCTTACAAAATCTCTTTCTAGGTAAGCAAAGCTGGAGAAGATTGATGCAGAGCACACCACAGGAGCGTGGCCGCCATGGGCTGTCTCCACTGGCTGTCTCCAGTGGAGAGTGGCAAGTTTTGCTCGGACCAGGTCTGTTAGTCATGTTTTCACAAAGACAAGGACAAACAAGTACAAAAGGGTCAGTTTCTTCATTCTCTGAGTGTGAAGTCCACCCAGGGAGCCACTTTGGTCTCTCAGGATCCATCTATTCATGAGGGGCATCTTGGGCTGCCCAGCTGAAGGTAGCAGAGCTGGCAGTTGGATGCTGGATCAAACGGGATTTTAGCAATAGTAGAGTTCTGTAATTCTCTCTGCAGAAACCTGGTCAAGCAGGGGAAAGATCACTTCTCACAACACAACCAATTTTAGTGGGTTTTGGATATTCCCCTTTACTGCTCCCAGAGAGAAAATCCAGAAAGCTTAAATCAGTAAGTGCATTCAGGCCTTCAGAGAAAATCTTCAATTTAAAAATACAAATCTTTTAATTCTAAAGGGAACAGTATAGATGAAAATGTACACAGTCTTAACTACTTAGAGGTAATAATGGTTATATTAAATGATAGAGAAATCATTATCTAAAACTTTTTCTAATTCCTTACATTTTCTAAACAACTTATTAAACTGTAGGAAACGTAGATTCATCTGTACAAAATTTGGAATGTTTTTTCTAAGATGAAGAACTTACAGGATATGCTAAGAATTCTTTTTTAACAACTGGTTTTAGTGCTTTGACTTCTAGTGCAAGAGGAACTTAGAGAAATGAGGTGATACTTTTCACAGGTCAGGAGGTCTTTTACTCTAGGAAAAAAAAATCTAAAAAAAGGAAAAAGTTAATTTTCTGTGGTCTCTACCACATGTTAAAAACAATCTGCATGTTAGATTGAAATTGCTCAGAACCTTTAGAATAAAAGCATACTATACACTTTCCTCGCTTTCTGTTACGTACTGTAACAAAATGTGAAAATAATGCTGTATTTAGCTGTCTGTATTGGACTGAAAACATGCTTGTATTTAGCAAAATGGTTACTGTGTGATAATGTGAAATTCAAAACTTGTAAAGAAACTTTGGTGGTGTTTTGTTTTCTTTCCTCCTCCCCAATCTTTATCAATAAGCTACCTACTACCTATAGCACCCCTCTTACACTGCAGTCTAAATAAAGTTTTAACACAGATCGGCTCAACAAGAAACAGCCACTCTTTGCAACAGCATGCGCTACACATATGTCTCCAAAGGCTCACTGCTTAGCTCTTCAGAACCAGCCAGCTGCCTTGCCGACGAAAAACAGAACCACAGAAACACTGACTGTTCTAAAACAGAAGAAGAAACCTGCAAACTCCTGCTCCCTGCAGGAGCAGCCCAGCCCCCTCCAGGAGGCCTTGCTCAGCAGCAGGCAGGACTAGTGCCACAGCGGCTAAAACAGCTTCTGCAGACCCACCTGTTCTTACTCAAAGTAACGATGTCCAACAGGACTGGACAAGGATCAGCCCTAGGGAAGCTTGAGTTCTTGTCTATGAGCTTTGGGGTTTTTTATTTACCTAGTATCAAAGAAAAAAACCACACAAAACAAAAGCTGTGATAGCCACAGCCATCTTCCATCCCCCGCTCCAAACCAGACATCTTTTGGACCTGCTGAGCAATTCCAGGGCAAATACCTTCCACCCCTGCCCCCCCATACCCAGCATTAGGTCACTGACAGTGGCACACAGTACATAATGTGGCTCGTGCAGAAATGCTTAACTTGCCATTTCGTTGTGCCCAAAAAAGGCTGGCAATGGCTGCCTTAGTACCAGCTGGAGGGAGTGGGGAGCATGCTCCCCAAATCAAAGAGGAAATCTGCTGGAGAAATCTGGACGTGCTTGCAGCTGCCTGCTCTGTCACTGCTGATGCTCTTAAAACGAAAGGCAGAGAAGCAAGCTGCAGCTGGAGCAGCCTCATGCACAGCCCGGTGCAGCAGCATGCAGATACCTCTTAGTCCAATAATGCATCAGATCTTGGCTTGCTACAGCCACAGACACCGGAACAGGAAAGGTATGGATGAGCCAGGGCCTGGTAAGCAGTGGTGAGGACGTGTCAGTTTGACGCCCATCTCTGCAGCTGTTGCTCCTTCACAGCCACGGTGCTGTCCAATTAGTTGCTTGTGTTCACAAATTCAGACGCGCTGACTCACACTCCCCATTTCATTCAAGCCAGCATTCATTAGCTACGCTTTTCATGTCTGCTGCTTCAACTGATTTTTTCACCCCTCCCTGCCCCTAGTTAAGAGAGGAAAACATTACAAAAGGCCACACATCCAATTTCTGACTTTCTCCCACAAAGAAAGATACACAAAACCAGGTGTCTGCCCCAACTGTTTAGTTTTACTATTTTAATATCATGAAATAAAAGTACAAAAAATTTACAGGTATGTTTCTTACATGAAGATCGAACAGTTAACATCTGCATTTATTTTTCAGCGAAACCTGTATTCTCAGTCACAGAACGTGAATATTAGCCACTGACATCACCACTGAGCACTTAATTTTAGAAAGGAACTACAGGGGTAAAAGGCAACATTATCTTGAAAGGCTTCGTAAGAACCAAAAAATAGTCCAACTGTTAACACCAGAAGTCATGCTTCAGTAAACCATCATCTAATACAGGTTTCACCACCTGGGAGGCTGAGAATGTTAAGACATTTGAACTGGACATCTTGTCTAAGGGATTGTAAACTGGGTTCTTGTTTACAGGCTATAAGCATTTTGGTGTCCTTGTTCAGTGCATTTGCAAAATAAGCAATGTGTGCACATGTATGAAGGAGAACAGGGTGAGATCACCTGCAGTCTGGACATGGTTTGTGTTGTTACTTCATTTACAACTTTTCTCTGAAGACAAGTCACAAACTGTTGTATATAAAGTGCTGAGAGTTCAGTAACAGGCAGTTAACTAACCAATAACTACTAAAACCAAGTTTATCCAACGTGGATATCCAGGAATGCTAAGGTTCATGCTGCCAATTAACTGACTAAAACAAAATCTGAGACTTCTCTGTGTTTTCTCCTGCTTCCTAGGACATTACAGCTGCATGTCTTCCCAGCCTGAGGCATCTAACTTAATCAGCTGTGCACAGAGATGAAAAAGCAAACCCCTGCATTACCTTAACCTGTGCCCCTCAACTCTTCAGACAAGCCTTCAGGTAGAAATTTATTTATGACAGATCCATCAGATAAAAATACTATGTCCTCTGCTGGACTGTGTGGTGCCATTTCAAAT